TCTAAAAGAAGATAGAGATCCAAATTCACAAAGACAGTTAAATAAAAGGGTAGACAAGTTCTTCTACTGTTAGAGAGTTTAATCCAACATCAACAGATATGTTATATTAACAATGGAAAACCATGGGAAGCTTATGCTGCATCCCCAGTCAAAGTGTTAAATCCTTATTTTCAAAGCAGTAGCCTGTATGGTTCAGAAATTCCATATGGAATGTAGCAGATATTTTGACAGAGAACAAAATACTGTTGTGCCAGGTTTGTGGAATCCCAGAGACTAACCCAAGGAGTTGACACTTCTGATTAAAAAACAAAATGTTTCATTTATTGTTCAAGGTAGCTGCCTTGGATCTCTTCCGACTTGGATCTCTTCCCAGAGCAGAGGAGATGAGATGCCCACTAACCAAAAACAGAAGCTTTTGGAGGGGAAGACCATGGAGTTGAGGGCCACAGGTTTCAGTTTCCATGGTTGCTTAGGCTCATAGAAAATGTGGAGCAAAACAGTTACTATATACTTTAAGCAAGATATATCTGAGTAAGATAAGACTTGCAGGGTTATGGAGGTCTCAGGGTCTGTCAGTTATCCCCTGGGCCAGGGAATCTTTACAACTAGCAGAGGAACTGTATGACCAACAATTAGAAAGGAATGCAGGAGTGGTGGACAGTTGCCTCCCCTTCTCTGTGAGTAGGGGCTTAGACACCAGACATGGCATTCCTGTTTAAGGAGTTAAATTTTCCTTTACCATTAGAAGTTCCCTCTCTCCGTATAGATTTAGGGCTCTAGCTTTTAAACTTTTATTAATATTATTTTTGGTCCCTCAATACATGCTACTTATACCAAGAAACAAGTTGATTGATTTTTCAGAACAGTGAATTGTGGAAACTGCTTTTGCTCACTTTTCAGGGAGAATTGATAATTAGTTTGCCTCTCATAGGCTATCACAGTTTGAGCTAAAGCATCTTATATTCCCCAAAGTTGTAAGGAACAGTCCTATAAAAATGCTATGTTAGTTTTTACTGATAGATGAACAGTTTATGTTGTTGAAAGGCCCCCAGAGTGGGGAGACCCTCACTCAAGTCCCAGGATAAGCCGACACCCCAATAATTCAAGAGAGACCATTCTTGCTGCAAGCACATGTGGTTTATTTGGAGAACCAGTGCACTGGAGCTGAGCTCATGACCCTTGTAAAGGCAGAGGAGTTCAATCCCTAGTAGCTGTGGGGGTTTTTGAAAGGGAAAAACTGAATGGGGGAGTTAGGCAAACATCATAAAGGATGAGTAAGTTAAATGGTAGCCTATGTCTTAACAGGAAGGTTATCTCAAGTAAGCATTTTTTGGGCATTGTACAGTTAAACATTGAGCAGGAATGTGGTGAGCTAGTTCCTAGATTAGGGAGTTGTTAAGAGAAGCTTTTTCTTTTGCTAGCCGCTTTGGTTTATCCCCTGCCAGTCGCCTGGGATCTGCTGCGCAAGCCTGGTTCTAGATCCGCATGAGTCCCAAATAAACACACAGGAGGCTATATGAATTATGAAGCTGTTGGCCTTGTTTGTTTCTTACTGGCTAGCTCTAACTTAAGTAATTACCCCATAATTGTTAATCTAAGTATGTCTCTTACCAGAGAATAGTTCCCGGCTTCCTTCCCCATGGCGTCACATCTTGACTCTCTTGTCTTTCTCCTTCCCAGAATCCTCCTGGACTCCTAGCCCCACTATCTAGATTTTCTATTGGCCAGACAGTACTTTATTGATAAATGCACAGGCAAATAACAGGACTTCCCCAACATCTCCTCTTTTCTGTTTAAAAAAAAAAAAGGTCTTAACTTTAACACAGTCAAATTGTATATAACAGAACAGTTATCAAATAAGAACATAGTTACAATATTTTAGCAAGATTTAAAGAAAATATCATCCATCCCATCCTTGTGAGTCAAAAGTTCTATATGTATCTTTTATCATAACTAAGGAAAACTATAATTATAACTATCTGTCTTCAACTCCATCAAAGACCACAGAAGGATAATATATAAACACTAGGATTAACAGAGATATCTTACTGCCTGGACAGTCACCCGAAGTTCCTCTGTAACGTTGGGGCATCCATCTTCAGCCCATAGGCCACAATGTGTCCAGAAGATTTCTCAGCAAAGCAGGAAATTTCAAACTGTCCAGCTGCATTGGCAGTCTGTAAGTCATTTTTCTTTGTCCTGCAGAAAGTCTCGTAGACTCTTCACCAAGCAGGAACCCTGTAAGACTGAGTTCAGTAGTCACTTTCCTGTGGGTCCTGCATGTCCAGATTATACAACAACAGTCAAACAATCTAGGCAAGAGCAGTTTCTTGCCCAAATGGCTAATCTTGCCATGTTGAAAGCAAACTTTATAACAAGTTTCTTCGATGCCCATCTTCCTCTCAGATGTAATTGGTGCTGCCAGGAGCAGACATTTCTCATTGTCAAGACAAACCCTAAACCATTTAAAATGCCATTTTCTGGTGGTCTTTGAGAGGTTTGAAGACTATCTGTCTCAAATACATCTCTATATATCTAGAAAACCTAACTTACCTAACTATAAGATCTGACTCTTATAAGTAACTATCTATAGCCTGTATTCAATTATGCTTTACATTTTAAAAGATCAGTATACGCACAATACTTAATCAAGAGGAGAAATATACACATCACAAAATTGACCTTGAATTTGTATCAATAAATGAAAAACAATACCCATACCATAATTCCCTTTTTTACCATTAAAAAGATTGGCTGTGATCATTAGCCAATTATAAACAATCCCATTTAAATGAAAACAAAGATTTATAAACAAGATGGGAATTGGGACGTCGCTCATTCCAAACTGCTGCCTGCTGGAAGGGGGCGCTCTTCATACCATGGGGATCATGACAAAACTCAGAAACCTGTATAAGTCCGTATTTTCGGGGTCTGTAAAGCTGCATCATCTTAGCTGTCTCAATAGTTGGAACACCTGGTCCACTGCTTCCGGGGGTCTTGGTTCGTCAAACCACAGAAGTCTGGAAGAAATCCTCAGCTTTTTATGTTCTGTGGAAACATAAATTAAAACTCCTTTTCCGAGTAACATATCCTTATACTTAAATTTTGAAGTCAAGGCATTTTCAAAAGATATAAGTTGGATTAATTCAGCAGCATTTATAATCAAGTGTACTTTAGCATTTGTTCCTTTAGCAATGAAAAAACTGAAAAACACAATAGCGTACAGTATCCAGACTCTCTGTGTATTTTCCATCTTTACGTGGCTTATTTATTTATCTGTTATTACTTTATTTATTTTACTTTTATTTTTCTCTGAGACAGGGTTTCTCTTTGGAAATCCGCCTGCCTCTGCCTCTGGAGGAAATCCTACCGGCATGCGCCACCACAATGTCGGCTTTTTTATTTATTTACCACTTTGTCGTTTCATTTTCTCTCTCAATCTCACGTATATTTTTAAACACACTGTAAACCTTTAGGGGTTTTGTTCATCCAAGTCTGACTTTACTGTAAAGCTTTACGTTTTTCTGGCCACGTGTCTTATCTGTAAAACCTCGGCTGTTTTAAACTGCCTTTCAAGATGGTGGGCGTAAGCGTGATTTTAGCTTACCGCCTCAGTCCATGCTGACCTCCAGCAAAAGCTGCCACTTCCAGCTGTACATACACCCCTTTCAATCGGTAGCAGAGTCTCTTAAAACAACCTTGCTGGTTTTTTTTTTTTTTTTTTTTTTATGCCGAGTCAGGAAGACTCCAGTAAGCGAGCCACATGAATCTCGGCTTGTCGCTAGCAAAATAGAGCATACCTGAGAAAAATGCTGTTACCAAAAATCTGTGCTTCTCTCCGTTCTTCTGTTTCTAAAATTCCTTTAAAGCTTTTGTCATTCTGCATGGAAATTCATGATCCCACTCCTGATCACCATTTTGTTAAGAGAAGCTTTTTCTTTGAGAGGAGCCTTCCCGCCCGCCTGGTTCTAGATCGGCATCAGTCCCAAATAAACACACAGGATTCTATATGAATTATGAAGCTGTTGGCCTTGTTTGTTTCTTACTGGCTAGCTCTAACTTAAGTAATTACCCCATAATTGTTAATCTGGCCAGAGCTTCAAATGAGAGCTTCAATCAACACTAGAACCCCAGTCAGGAACTTCAATCAAGCATCTCCTGCCATACTGAGACTGTCTGATCTACTGAGATTTTGTTATACTAACATTTTCTTTTCACAGGTCCCCATGAGATTATCATCGTCCCATCTCAGTAGGAAGTAGTTTTGAGAATTCCACGCCCCCCTCTCCCTACTATTGATATTATAAGATAGTTTACACCTGTTAGTGTTAGTTTTCAATTATTTTAGAGTTGGGATTGGAAGGAGGTGTTCAGATTTGGGTGTTTCTTTCAGATAAGTTTAGGTTTAGATAGAAGTTTGATACATTTTGTTCATGGACACAAGTTAGTTGTCCTTTTTTTAGACAAAAAGGGGAATTGTAGGAGGAAGTCTGATGCCGCCAATAAACATGTGACTTATTAGAGGCGCATACAGATGAGGTAATAAAAGGGCAGTTTACCACACCGCTAACCACACCCACTTTAGGCAGGACTAAAGACGTATACGGCTGGACGTAAAGACGTATACGTACGTAGGCGGAACAACGTCACTAGCCAGGCCCACTTTTGGGCATGGCTAGGGGCATTACAGTGGGAAGGCATAAAAGACAGCACACAGGAAGTCTCGGTCTCTTTTCCTGGAGTTCGGCTTCAGGTCCGGCCGCTAGCTGAGAACTGTTTGGCTCCTCTGGGTTTGGTATCTTGTGAGTAATTTTCTACATTAAATACTTAGCTTTACTGTCAGTAATTGTGTGTCGCGTATCGTTACAGCGTCCGTTTAGCCTACAGTTTGGTGTCGGAGCGGGATTGGAATCCGGATCCAGGCGCCCAGAAAAGCGGCTTCTCTCGGCTCGACCAGGCACATGTGGACTCTCCTTTCGCTAAGTTCCTCACCACTTCGCTCGGCAAGGCACGATTCCTGCCGCCAGGAACCAGTACCTTCTACCTGCCGGTAAGGTTAGGCAGTATTCCAAGATTTCTCTTGTGGCCACGTGCTGTTTTACTGGCGGCCTGCTGACTCCAGCCACGTGCTCTTTCGCTGGCAGCCTGTTGATTTCGGCCTGAATTACTCCATTGGTAACAAACGTAACTGCTTTATACAATGTCAACAGCTAACACTATGATGCAGGATGTTAAGAATTTTCTTGTTTTTTGTATGGATGGGATTTTAAATGGGTTGAGGACCTACCTGAAAGGTACTTCCTACCCCAATGGCGGTTCATCTCGACTCTCTTGTCTTTCTCCTTCCCAGAATCCTCCTGGACTCCTAGCCCCACCTATCTAGATTTTCTATTGGCCAGACAGTACTTTATTGACAAATGCACAGGCAAATAACAGGACTTCCCCAACAGGGAGTGTTATCTTTTAGGTTTATCTTGAGGTCTCCGGTTTCTCAGGAGAGGGCAGAAGGGCAAGTCACTCTGTGATGGGCTAGCTACTAGAGCTCTAAAAATTGAGTTGGTATCTCTCATTGTAAATGGTAAGAAATATGTGGAGCAAACAACTCTGACTTCAGCTCAAATAGTTGAGTTATGAGCTGTCATAATGGTTTTTCAACTTATAGTAAATGATTCATTTAATTTATATACTGACAGTCATTATGCTTTTAAAGCTCTTCAAATAATAAATACAGTTCAGTGCATTAAAACTAACAATGATCAGGTTAAAATATCATATAAGCAATTTCAAAATGAAATTGCTATGTTTTGTGGGTAACATAAGAGCTCATTCAAACCTTCCCTTCAAACCTTCAAATTCACAACGTCTAATAGCCATTCAATGGAATGTCAATTAGGTTAATGGATCCAAAATATGAAGTTCAGGGACATAATGGGCTCTCACACACAAGAAAAATCATAAATCTGTGTGTGTGTGTGTGAGAGAGAGAGAGAGAGAGAGAGAGAGAGAGAGAGAGAGAGAGAGAGAGAGAAACAGAGAAACAGAGAAACAGAGAGAAATATGTGTGGTATGTGTATATGTATGTGAGTATGTGTGTATACATGTGTGTGAGTGTGTATGAGAGAGAGAGAAACAGATTCAGAGAAAGAAACAGAGACAGAGAATATGTGGTATGCTTATGTGTATATATGTGTGGTATGTGTACATGTGTGTGAGTATGTGTGTATACATGTGTGTGAGTGTGTGAGTGTGTGTGATGTGTTTGTGTGTAAGTATATGTGAGTGTGTGTGTGTGGTGTGTATGAGCGTGTGTGTATATTTAATTGTGTATGTAGTATGTGTGTGTACATATAATTATTACTGTTTACACCCAAGAGCTGGATGGGATTCCCTGTAGAAATCTAAATGCAGAAAAGACCAAAGATTGGCAGGGTGGTGGTGGCACCTGCCTTTAATCCCAGCACTAGGGAGGCAGAGGCAGACGGATCTCTGTGAGTTCGAGGCCAGCCTAAAAAAAAAAAAAAAAAAAAAAAAAAAAAAGCTCTTCAAATAATAAATACAGTTCAGTGCATTAAAACTAACAATGATCAGGTTAAAATATCATATAAGCAATTTCAAAATGAAATTGCTATGTTTTGTGGGTAACATAAGAGCTCATTCAAACCTTCCCCAACTACTGGCTAGAGAAAATGAGTCAACAGATAGATTAGCAAAATTGGTCACTTTGTCTCTGGTAAAGGGAGCTCTACAACCTCATAACTTTCATCATCTAAATAGCAGAAGTCTTAGAAAGCAATTTGGTTTAACTAGAGAGATTGCTTGTCAGAGTTTTCTTGATTGCCACTGCACAAATTGAAAAAGTCACCAAGCATGTGATAAGTCACTGATTAAAATATTTTTGCTTACATGAGAGTTCCAAAAGTAATAAAAACAGACAATAGGTTTGGATATATTAGTAAAGCATTTCAACAATTGTGTAGTCCCTAGTCTCCACATGCATTAAATCATGCACTCTTTATTTTAATTTTTTAAAAAAGTGAATGCCACTGAACAATTTGCTGCAGACAGATTTTGACATGATGAAACTCAGTGACTTCTGCCCAGGTCAGATGAAAAATCCAAACACTGGATGTGGAAAAGACCCAATTTTGGGTGGGGGGAATGTTTGTGTTTTCTTACAGGAAAAGAACAAAGATCGGTGGCTGACAGACATTTGGTGAGATGCATGGAGCAGCGAAAAACTGGACTTGAAACTGTGGGAGCCTGTCCAAGACAGCTCCAGTGAAACATGCTAAAGCAGTGTTCCTGACTCTGCATAACCTCCGCCCCCAAGTTTCCAAATTCCCTCGACCCATTCCAACTATGAAACCTCACTCTCTTCCCGCACTTCTCTCTCCATTTATCTGATCCCTGAGAATGATGCATGGTGGGCCTGTCAGGATAGCCTTAAGTTCTGTGTATTCATGCCCTTTCTGATAACTGACCCCAAGTTCTGCATCCTGGTAAACGTTATCCTTCACCTTATTTACTACTCTGCTCAGGACTTCTACCAGCTGTGGGAAGGCAACGAGACCCGTTCTACCCTTTGAGTAAAAAGAGAGCCAGGTTCCACTGTAAACTTAGCTGTACTCCTGGGACTGGGGGCAGGTGGCACAGGCACTTTATTGCCTCCTTCATGCTTTCCAACCAACACTATTCTGAATTGCATGCCACCATTGATGATGATGTCCATTTTCCAGAGATAGGGATCACTAATCTAGAAAAATAATTAGTCTCACTATCAGAAGTAGTTCTGCAAAATAGACTAGGCCTAGACCTCTTGTTCTTACAACAAGGTGGCCTTTGTGCTGCCCTTAAAGAGATGCAAGGAGCAACCGTTATATAAACTTTAAAGGCTGACAAGAGCCCACACAAACAGTCCATTCAGCCTTCTCCCACAGGAAGATAGCTTAGAGAAAGAATATCCTGTGGTAATGAGTGATGTCCTGATAAGAAGAACCTGGCTCACACGAATAGCTGATAGCAATCTGTAGTTAGGTTAATTAATAACCCTTCTTCCTGAATTTAGTTTATTTAGCAACCCCTCACCCTGTGAACTTTACCCTACTAACACCTCGCTTATCTCCATCTCCATTCCTGCTGCTCTGTCTCCTTGGTGGTCTTAGACTATCAACACCCCTCAGTCCATTACTAAGAAAACTCCTTGGTACATGACCAAGAATACTCCTTAATCCAGTTACGAGGAAATGAGCCCCCCCCCACTGAATTCCTGTCCTAACCGATAAAACCTTACAACTTGATTGGAAAGTCTGCCTTACTGTCCAGCTCTCGTGTCTCTTGTCCCTTTCATTCCAGGTTCCTGTGGGCATGACCCCCCTTGTGCCCATTCTGAGTGAGGTAACCCAGTCACAAAAAGACAAACATGGTATTACTCACTCATATATGGATTTTATACGTGAAGCAGGGGAGTGCCAGCCTACAATCCCACTGCTAGAGAGCCTGGGAAACAGGGAGAACCCTAAGAGAGACATGCATGGTACCCAGGAGAAGGGGAAGGGGACAGGATTTCCTGAGAAAATTGGGAGAATGAGAGGGGGGTGAGGGAGCTGGAAGAAAGAGAATTGGAGAAGAGGATGGGAGAAGAGGACATGGGGGAGTAGGAAGATTGATTTGGGTGAAGAATAGAGGAGAGAAGCAGGATGAGAGATACCATAATAGAGGGAGACATTACAGGTTTAGCAGAGATCTGGTGCTAGGGAGATTTCCAGAGATCTATACTAATGACGCAAACTTGCAATCTAAGCAATAGCGGAGAGGCTACCTTAAATGCTCTTCCCGGATATTGAGATTGATGACTACTTTATATGCCATCCTAGAGCCTTCATTTGGTGGCTGATGGAAGCAGAGCCAGATACCCACAGATAAATACTGAACTCCTGGAATCCTGTTGCAGAGAGGGAGGAGTGATGAGCATAGGAGTCAAGACCAGACTTTTGAAACCTATAGAAACAGCTGACCTGATAAGGGGGAGATCATGGACTCCAGACTGATGGCTGAGAGTCTATCATGGGTCTAATCCATAATGCCTGAACATGGTTGTTACTGAGGAGGCATTGACAGACTATGTGGCCTCAGGTAGTATTTAGTATTTATCCCTGGCTTAAAAATGGTTTTGGGAGCTCAATCTAGAAGAAAGGATGGTCTCTCAACCTGGACACATGGGGGAGGGCCTAGACCCTGCCCTGGATGAAAGGACAGACTCTGGAGCTCTCCCATGGAGGGCCTCACCCTCCCTGGGGAGTGGAAGTTAAAGGTAAATGGTATGGAAGGTTGTTGGGGGGGTGATGGAGGATGGAAGGGAGCTTGGATTGACATGTGAATCAGGCTTGTGTCTAATTTAAATAAAAATAAATAATAAAAGAGGATAATCTCCATGTCCTTAAAAAGTATACTAATTCTTTTGAAATATTATCATTTATTTTCTGTTGTCCCCAACATGATGAATTAATAGTAGAATACATAATTTATAATTAACTTTGTAAGCATTTCATACTCTATATAGGGAATGGTTAAAGTTTGTACCCCCAGGAAACCTGTCTTTGCACAATCACTACAATCAAATTGCAGGACTTATTACCCATGGCAGTGGACACTCATGGTGTCCTTTTAGCATCCTAGATTTCCATGATGCTATTGAACTTAATTGCTTTTTACATTTACATTTTATTTACTTTGTGTTTAGAAGGAATTATGGGAAGATCCCATAATTTGCATGTGGAGGTTCAAAACAATATGCAGGAGTTTGTTGTCTCCTTCTGCCATGAGGGTCCCAGGGATCAAACTCAGATCTTCACATTTGGCAGAAGGTGCCTTCACCCACATAGCCATCCTGATGGAACTTGAACTTAATTTCTACTATTTTTTGTTCATCCACTCATATTTCCTAAAGAAAAAAAAGCTCATAAAAATCCAGAACTGCTTTACCTTAAAAAATTAAACTAAAATATCCTACTCTCATTCCATTTTATTTCTATGTAATTATTCCTTCTACTATGTCACTAATAACCCACCAGTTCCCTTTCTTACCTCCCAGATTGAGTTCTGCAATTCATTTTAAAGCGTATTGTTCAACACCTAAAATCCTCTCACCGGTGCTTCCAGATGATCTGATCTAGACACTGACAAGTAGATTCAATACTAATATCTGCCCTTGCTGGAAAACTGCACAGTCATAAAGATGAAAGCTTTCTTACTTCAGGAAAAACTTATTCAGTTTGTCTAATGATGTTTTCTGCCCCAGACATTTTCGTGGGTACAAAACTCTGATTCCATAGTTTCAACATTTGACCCCACTTACTGGATTTCCACAACAATATCAGAAGTCCTTCATATACCTGCTTCCTATACTATTCAATACTGAATCTAATCTTCCCCAGTCTAAAACTAATCCCTTCTGCCTTAATCAGCTTCACATAGTCATGCACTTCTCATAGCATTGAAATCTGGTTTATACTGCTCAGTAAAAAATGGGAGATTTCCTATGTCTTACTTCAACTTTGTATTTATTGTATTGTATTGTTGGATTGATTTCTATTTGATGTTCAGAAACAAAACACCCCCCAGAAAATAGTTGTACATGTTAACAATTTTCATCTAGCTTCTAAATATAAACCACTCCCATGCTACAATATATAGTAAACTATCTAGATGGTGAATGCACACACACACACACACACACACACACACACACACACACACACTCACCTACCTCCTGATTTCTCCCAAAATTATTGATAATTAAATAAATAGGGGCAGTACTCCAATTTGGCCTCTAATTCCCATGGCCAGCCAACAGCAACAACCTGGTATTAAAGTTTTAATGTATGCACCTTTAGGAAATAGTCCAAATGCAGACTGTAGCAATAGTTGGCAATTTTAATGGTACATCCGCAAACTTAAATCTCACAAAACAAAATGTGTTGTGCAGGTCTAGAGAGATGGCTCTGAGGCTACAAGTACTCTCTGCTCTTCCAGAAGATTTTTCCTAAAATCTCAGCACCTACGTTGGCCAACTCCCAATCTCTCGTATCTCCAGTTCCATGGGATCTGACACCCCCTTCTCATATTTATGGAACTGACACACAATCATCAGACATACAACACACACACACATACACTCACGCACACACACGTGGTCTAGGATATGAATATTTGTCTATATGATGTGACTATATCTAGAGGTACTTGATCAGAACTGATCTAATAAAGATGTCATGTTCTTGAGTCTGCAGAATTATAGAATAAATAAATCTTTGCATTTTAAAATGTTAGCAGCCTCAAGATTCATTGCAGGAACTTAGAGAAGTCTAGGGACATTAGTGAATAAAATCAAATCTTATCTTACTAAATTATCCAAACATTAACTAAAATATCTTAATAACATAACTTGTTTTAGAATCTAAATCATGCATGACTTTCTACTTTCAAATGTCTATAGAATACCCTATAGAAATCTTAATGAATATGTTCAGAATAGATGAAGCCTCTGTCACTATTTAAAATTTAAACCTAAATGAAAACCAATAAAGACTTTAAAGAAATGATTATAAATAAAAGTCTTTGGGAATATTTGAATAATTCTGAATAACTGGTAGAATTATCACAATACCATTAAAGTATTAAAAAGAATATAGTTTTCTAAATTAAGAATATCTGAGGACAGATGGTTAGAATCTTTTCTTTAAATTTAGTGGACCATAAAGCATAATAGCCGAACGCTTTTAGAATTTCAATCTCTTTTTCATCCCATTAAAAGAAAGGTACATGTACAATAGAGGTCAGTTTTCCTACTTAATGTCAAAAGCGGTTCTCAGCATTTTTTTGAAATGTATTTTATACCCCAACAATTATAATAGCTGAATATTAGGTAATATTAAAATGTTCTTCAATACCATCATAGAAAATTAGAAATGACTTCTAAATATTAATAAATGTGGCCTATTTTCTTTAATATAATTTCTGTAAAATAAAAATGCTGAGCATACTCATGCTTTTTTTGATCTGTCTTCTACTTATAATTATTCAGTGTTTACAAGTTACCTTTTGAAAATGAAAATCAAGTCACAACTTAATACTCTATGTATGTAATTTAGAGAGCATAGCATTTCATCTTATTCTCATATAACATTTCTGATGATTCCCATGTATTAGTAGTTCTTTACATTTTATTTTTTCATATCCTAGAATCTGTCTATTGTTCCAATTATCCTGAGGGACACATCTAAAATAAGCTCACCACTCAGGAATTTGAAATGTTCCTCATCACAAAAGAGTAAATCTGGAAGCAGTTGGCCCCTGAGAGTCACTGTCTGCCTTCCTGTGCTCCTCAGTTTCAGACCCTCCAGATGTTCATGGCATAGGGGCTTTCCTATCACCCAGTGCTTTTCCGAATGGTAGAGCTCTTTCTATCTTGTTTTAAATGGTGCTTTGGGAAAAACTGGTAGTGCCTGCTTTTCAGTCTTTGTTTTCAAGCCTGGACCTCTGCCCAGTTTCCCTCCTGCTGAAACCCCTTAACTCTGAAATCCAACATATAAATGCATTGCTTTGGTAACCTCTACAGCGTTACATTTATGTCCTGGATTTTCCCTGTGGTTCTTATTCTCTCTAATTGGTTTTCGCCTTCAAAAAGCACCTTATAACATTAAATACCCACTAGTCACTGAGTATCAACATTGAAAAAATAAGAATAAATGCTGTACTTCAACTCAATTTAAAATTTTAAAGTTGTGCATTTTTTGCTTGATTACTTCATATGAAATTGATTAATTTCAAGGGATTGAATGATAAACACACAGATTGAATAGTCTTTTTCCCTCTTGTTTTGTTTACCTGGTGTTATGTAGCAATTTCCTGTAAATAAACTCTTTCATCCTGGGATGAGACTCATTAAGACTCATGAAATCCAAATTAAAATATTTTACCTTGCAGGGAAGTTGTTTAAGACTGAGCAACTAAATAACTCAAGTCTCAGGAAGTCCCTGAAACTGATCACATTC